TCATGATTCTCGAAGCTTGCACATGCTTCTCTGTATCTGAGTCAGAGTGCCATCTGTTATTAATTAGTACCAAAAAGTCCTCCTCTTGCTTTTAGAATTCACACCTATGCTATGTTGGAAAATTGATGATCTCTCTTGTTACTTTGAATTGTTGGTCTGATGTCGTTCTCCATGTGGAACGATGGACAATGTGTTGCTTTCAACTAAACAGATATAATTTTCAATTACTAGCTCATTATGCATACCTTAGGACTAGTTAGCACAGTATTATTTTTGGACGATATGGGGTCAAGCTAACAATAGTAGACTTTGGTACTTTGCATAGAGTTGCTGCTAAACAAATATGTATACCGGAGGGTCTATATATGATTAGCCCACAAGTGTTTACATGAACCAGGAAGGCATCAGCTGGAGCAAAGTAAGATGGCCACAGAAACCAAGGTACAAATTATCGAGAGGCAAACAATTAAACCATCCTCCGCAACTCCTCCTCACTTGAGAAGTTTTAAGCTCTCTTTTTTCGATCAGACAGCTATTGTAATTTACATCCCAATCCTACTCTACTATCCCAATACTAGTTCTACTAGTAAGGTCAGAACTGGTCACCATGACCATGTCGTGGCCATCAATGAAAGATGTCAGCATCTAATTGAATCATTAAGCAAAACTCTCACTCACTTCTACCCTTTAGCAGGAAGGATTATTGAAGGTAAAGCCATGGTTGAATGCAATGATGCAGGAGCTGAATTTGTCAAAGCACGAATCAATTGTTCCTTATCGGAGATTTTGGAACACCCAGATGCTCAGATGTTGAAACAATTCCTTCCAATTGAATATGAATCCAAAGAAGCAAGCACAGGCCGGTTGCTTCTTGTACAAGTCAACTGTTTTGAGTGTGGTGGAATGACAATTGGGTTGAGCATTTCACATAGGATTGCTGATGCATCCACACTATCCACTTTCATCAAGTGTTGGACCACAATAGCCTTTGGGTCCAGAGACAGTGATCAGGTACTACTAGTGCTTCCAAAATTTGGTGCTGCATCTATGTTTCCACCAATAGATTTCTCTAACTCCACACAACCACC